GGCCTCTCTCCTTGGGGAAGTGTAAGTAGCACTGCAGTGATACCCGAGAATCCAGGATAAACACTAACTTATTAGACCTTGTTGTCATTGTTGTGTGTTTTTAAGGCTTTTAAAATTACATTCCAGAGTGCTACATCAGGTATAAGGGTGGAAATAACAAGCAGAATGGTCTTGGGTTCTCAAACAAGATGGATGAAATTAATATTAATGTACAGGAATTAGTTCAGTGGCAAATTATTGGCAAATTTGCCACTGGCAAATTAATCCAGTGGCAAAACTGGCAATTCAGTGCAATAGAGGTGCAAGTGCTCATTTTAAGTCTTTCCTGGAAGAAGTGACTTAGAAATACCATGTCATTTTGCACATACTGGGTGAGAGGGTTGAGTCATTTCCTTCAGGGTCCACAGCCTCAGCAGAGGTGTGAGAGCAGAAGCAGGGTCTGCAGTACAGAAAGAGGACATGTAGGTGTGAGCAGTTTGAACCCACAAGCTGGTGTGTCCTGTCCCCCTAAAAAGGCTCCCTGGCTCTCTCACAGTGCGTCCTCACATCTGGCAAACTTGAAAGATGAAGAGCTAAAAGCTGTGGACAACTCTCATTATTTTGAGAAACAAAAGTGGTTTTTTCTGAGCTCAGTGAGAGCTCTGACTTCCAAAGTATTTGTGGTATAGGATGAACATTCTCCTGGGCTGAATGCAGACAGAGATAAAAGTTTACAGGCAATTCAGTTGATCTCAGAAACGTGTTCCTGACTTCTTAAAAATGCACATAAAAAATGTGTCCATCAATGACCATGTAGCATAATTTCAGTGAGTGGCTATGAGTGAAAGTGTGTGTGGAAATGCCAGGAATGCAGCTTGCTCCTGCCCTGCTCTCCCTGTGTTACACCGTTGGTAATGTCTGTGTAACCTTTTATAGGGCAGGCTGTGCTGCTGCCACCACAAAGTGACCAGGGAGACACATCCTGAATACTTGACAGGGAAAATGAATTGAAACAGGATAAAGGTGGAAAGAGACTGGAGGAGCAGAACCTTTTCTTTTTAGCAATGTTGCAAAAAAATAAACAAAACAAAAAAAGTGTTTTGCAAACAACTTGCAGCCAAATGTATTGAAGAAATTTTTTTTGTTTAGCCATTCATAATGGGAGTGGAAATACAGCTCATTCTCTTACTTATGGAAATTTTCTAACATTAAATTGCAGTTAATTTAATTTTGCAGATATTGCATGTTTTTTTTTTTTCTTGCTGGGTTATTTCTCTTCCCTCTCTTAACAAAATTCTGAATATGTTGCCTGAAATAATCTCAAGTAGCCGATGCTGAGAATGGGGAATTACACCCATGGTTCCAGCTTGGGCCATCAGCTTCAAGGAGTTTAATTACTTGCAAAATTTCCCCTTGTAAATAGTGAATTTAAATTGTATTTGTTTGAAATATCACACTTATTTCCAACTTAGTAGGTGACTTTTGACTTAGAGGAGGAGAATAAGTGCTGGAATCTTTTCTATAAAGAAATATAAAGCAATCCTTGTATCCTTGATTTGTTTAAGTTTTTAGTTTTGCTTTGCACATTTTCAGGAGTGGGGAGGAAATTGCTGTGAGTAAAACTGGATAAGAAAACCCCAGCATTCTTATCTGGCTTTTGCTTATGGGCCCCTTTGTAAGAGACTCTCTCTCCTCTCCTGGCTGCCTAGAAAATGCTGGATACGTGGAACAGCTTTTGCCCTGTGAGAAGGGTAGGGAGCATCTTTGTGCAGGGGCAAATGCTGTGTTTGGAGGAAGGCAGTAATTAAATGGAGTTCTGACAGGTTTGGCTTGCTCTGCTCTGCATTCTGCTTTGAATTCAGCCTATCTGTTCGCTCACCGCATGAACTGGTTTCCTTTTCTTTTTCACCCTCCCTGTAGACTGCCGACAGATGAGCTCAGAAAATGCTCCATGTGCTGCTTGACATCAACTGCTGAAGAACAGACTTGGGTAGATGTTGAGATTGTCAGTGTATCTATAATGCTCTTTTATGAGCAACGCCTTGATGAATACTTCACTGCTCATCTCCTCTCTATGAGGCCTTAGTTTCCTTTATTTAGCTTTCTCCTATTCTGTCAGTAGCACTTTGAGCTGGATTTTTGGGAGCTGCCAGCACGCAGTTCTGGTTTGGATGATGCAGCAGATGAGTCTGTGAAGATGTCAGGGGCAGCCCTTTGCGCATAAAGGTCAGTGAGCAGAAGAACTTTCTCTTAAGTCAATGCAGGCTGCATCATCTTTGGGGTTTAAGTCCAAACCCCTTAAGTCAAGCTCTTAAATTTTTCACTCTGATTGTGTATCCCTTTCTTGCATCAATAAATGTAACACTCTGCATTACAGTTCACAGATAGTGAAGTGTTTTCTCTTGTTTCTCTCCTTGGCTGCTCTTTACCTGGAGGTAATCTAATGATGAAGTGAATTTTGTGTTGCAGGCCTCTTTCTGCTGCTTGTGGGAGTTGAGTGACCATTAAGAATAAGGCTTGTTCCACTCATTTCCTATGTAGCTGTTTCCCTGCAGATACCCAGTTCTCAAACATGCTGTGATTATTTGATTACATGGAATACAAACCCACCCAGAATTATGCAGCTTTCCAATGCACTTGGTTAATCTAGTGGTGCCCTGTGTTGTTAAACGCAGCTGGCATGTCTCCAGGCACATTGTGTATTTGGTAATATTTGTGTGTGACCTTGAGTTGAAGGCTTTGCAGAAATTTAAGGGCAAGGTTGTGCCAGCCAAGGTGTGCAGACACCAGCTGACAGGTCACATCTCTGGTGTGTTCTCCTCTGCCAGGAAGGATGGCAGGGCAGAGAGTATTTGGTCAGATTTACAACTGGAGTAAATGGTGCATAATGATGAGCTAGTCCTGTTGTCTCTCTTGCACAGGAGCTTTGTGACTCAATAATGTACTTTCCAGGAGGATAAAGTGTGCGTTTGTGGCTCTGGTGGTTCCAAGACATTAGTTCTCAAAAATTAGTGTTTGGACTTTGCAGAGGGTGTGTGAATGCTTTGCTCATTCAGCCTCAGCCCATGAGATGATAGGGAAAAAAATCCTCAAATTCTGTAATGCAGGAATGTATAGACAGATAAAAAAAAAATTAAAGGACTGTGTGTAAGTATTTTGCTGACAATTATCCCTTCTCTGGGATAGAGAGCCTAATTAATTTGTGGCTTCTTCAGTTATACTCAAAACCCTTTTACTGCACCATAATGTTATCTCTTTCTAACAGGCTTAGATTATTCAGAACTGATTCAGTTTAAACAAATAAAAATTGAAAACAAACCTTTGTTCCTGCACTGCCTGACTGAGCTTTTGCTTCAGGGAAGTGTACCTGTGCTTGGATAGCTTTCACCCATCTCTGTGTGCCTTTTCAAATTTTGTAGCACAAAAAGCTTCTCACTTTTAAAACTTTACAGAGGATGCTATAGAAAAAGCATGCATAAATAATGGCAGTGCTGTAGTTTGATGTGTACTGGTAGTCTACTAAAATATAAATGGAAAACTTGATCACTGTTTAGAATGTACAATTTAAAATATTCATGAGGCTCTTTCCTATCTGAAAAGCAAACTTTTAATATTATCAGTGACCATTTTGATTAGTCTCAGCTCAAGCAAAGTTTTAATTTTAAGGATGTCCATAAAGAAGCCACTTGACTTCAAATTGACCTTGGATTTTTAGTAACCCCAGATACAGAGATGAGAAAAAAACTATGGAAACTAGATGCTACATTTGAGTGAACAAATTGCAGGGACAGACTAGGGAGGAGAGTCAAGTGAGAAAATAAAATCTTGGTAGTGCAAGATATATTTATTAAAAAAAATGCAGCTTCTTTATAGACTTTGGTTCTGAACAATATGGGGTTTTATTTAGTTGATCAGTAAAGATAGGAAGCAAAACAAAGGCCACTTTGTCATGCCAGACTTTCAGAAATATACCCGCATCACAATGGCATGCAGCACAGTTTTTTTCATACAGCTTTTTGGCTCAGACTTGGTTTTGGGTAAGAACAAAAGTTGGCAAAAACAGCTTCTGTGCTCAGAGAAGAATAACTTCTGTTGATCAGAGATTTTTGGAGAGATTTTTAATTAGACCAGTACTGTGAAGACTGCAGAGTCTAAGGAGTTCTAAACAGATCTGTAAAGTACTTTTCAATTCCTCATATTTCCTCATCATTTCAGAGTCAGTGGGGAGCTAAATTTCAAACTGCTGCCGCAGTTTAACTCTGTGTAGTTGTTTTTTTCCTGCCAAGTTTGAGTCACCGTGGCCATCTAGCCCCTTCTGGAGAGATTAAAATGATGGAAAGCTGGAATACGTTCTCCAGTTAAATGAGCGAATGTTTCTATTCGAGCGCGGATTCAGATTTCCCCGCGCTTTCCTGTGAGTGCGTGGGATGAACGGGACCATTATTTTTAATTCCTCAATAAATTGAGGAATTGAGCTATACAATAAATAACTGCAGAGCTCAACTAGCAGTGAGTAGAAAGTAGCTGGTTGCAGGTTAAGGGTGACTTTGGGCTGTGCTTGGGTTCAAAGCCTGGTCCAGATGCAGTGATTAAAAGCCATACAGGTCGTCCCAAACAAAGAGAGGCTTTCTGGCATATCATCAGTGGAAATGCTCCCGAGCTATGTTACTAATCCCACTGCTTGGCCTGCTATCTTGCCGTTAGCATCCACGTCGGAGGCACGACAGAAATGCAAAAGGGAGGGAAAAGTCTCAGCCTTTTTGTTCAAAACTGTGTCTGGGGCCCTCTTTTGAGAGAGGAGGCAGAGCGCTGGTTATCCACCAACTGGTTCTCTGCACAGGCATAAGTTTTAATTCCTGTTTTATGTAGGAATGTGCATGCATCTGAAGGGCCAGGGAATGGGGAGGACACATTTGCCTTTACAGCTGCTGGCAGCAAAGAAATGCAGTAAGACTTGATTGAAAACATCTATCTTACTGTTTTACTAACTGCAGTTTTTTCTTTTCCTTTCTCATTTGTAGGTCTCAGACTCTGGATACTGGCTGTGGGATTTTTTTTTTATTATTATTTTTGTTTGGTTTGTTTCCCCCTTTTTGGATGTGAATTGAAGGCCAACAACAGTTGAAGTGTTGGAAGCAAGCGCAGGAGGACACTCATCTTTTTATTTGAACCCTTGTTTGCTGGGATACTTTCAAGCTCTCCTTCACAGTCATGTGGTCATCACAGCTGCTGTTCTTCACAATGCTCTTAACACCGTTTGCCCATGGTGAGTGAGAGATGCTGTAAATGTGCCTGGGGGAAGAGAAGAGAAAATAGCAAGGATTTTGTCTGTCTTTTCCTAATGGTGTGGGTTTTTTTACAGGATGTTTATTTCTCTCCCTGCTTGCACCTCATGTCTTTGAGATTCCCAGGTTACATTATGACTTAGCTACTGAGACAAAGAACTCTGGTGACACATAAAGGCTTCTTTTTCTGAGTTTGGCTGCTACATTAGACATACTTTTGCTTCCCTTTTCTTGGGGAAAAAATGGATTTATTACCAAACAAATCAGAATAGGGTAATGAGAAATAAAGGCAAATTGTAAAAACACTGTCCCCCCCACCTCCCTTCTTCCTGAAGTGAACTTATTCCCAGTTGCCTCTGCCTCCTGCCCTGCAGCAGTGCAGGGGCACAGGGAATGGGAGCTGTGCTCAATTCATCACATTTTGTTTCTACTGCTCCTTCCTCCTCAGAGGGAGGAGCTCTCACATTCTTCCCCTGCTCCAGCGTGGGTTCCTCCCATGGGATCGCTCATCCTGCCAGCAAACCTGCTCCAGCCTGGGCTTCCCTCTCCACAGAGCCACAGCAAGGGCACAGCTGCTTCACCTCCCAGGGCTGCAGGGAAATCCCAGCTTTAGCATGTGGAGTGAGCACCTCCTGCCCCTTTTCCTTCACTGACCCCGTCTCCAGAGCTGTCTCTCTCACAAAGCAGCAGCTTTGTCCCCTTTTTTGGATATGTTATCCCAGAGGCTCTACCACAGTCCATGATGGACTCAGCCTTGGCCAGTGATGGGTCTGTGCTGGAGCCAGCTGGCATTGGCTCTGTCACACTCAGGGAAAGCTTCAAGCAGCTTCTCACAGAAGCCACCCCTGTAACCAGCCCCTCCCTCCCCAAAACCTGGCCATGCAAATCTAACAAAGAGCTGTAGCAGAAAAATTTGATCTGTTTTATTAGCCAGGAAACTCTTAAGTGAAATGTGACACCTGCAATTCTTTGAAATAAGATTTTGAGGCCTGTTGGGTTCTTTTGATATGAGAAACCCAAGTGTATGCTGTAGGAGTAAGTTGCCAGGTTTCACAAGTGCTGAAGGGTTGAGGAGCTCCCATTAGCAGTGATGGTTACTAAATGCTCAGGGCAGAGCTTTACAAAATCTGTCTGCCTGATTTTTATGATTCTTAAATGAAAGGTGAACTCTACCAAAGGATCTCATTTTAATTAAAGGCCAGTGAAAGCATGTCTGTAAATGACATGACTCCCTGTATGTAAGCTGTGGGCCCTTGCTTTTAAAATATTCATCAGGCTTTTTGAGCTTATCAACTGATCCTTTGTGTATGTGCTAAAACACTGGAAGGAAATTTTACAGGAAAGAAGGTGATGAAAAAAATGAAAAATATGATTGGATGGACATGTCTATAGAGTGCAACCTTACAAAACCTTTGGGGACAAAGGCTATCTGTACTATTGTTCTTTATGCAAGACTCTTCCTCACTGACTTGAAAATTAGAATGAGTGTTTAAACTGAGTTGACCAGTTAGGGTGGAATGAGAGAACTGTTCAGAAAGGTGCTCTCCAATCCTCTCCAGGAAAGTTAAATGCTAAATGTTTTGTAAATCTTTATAATTAAGTAGTATTAGCAGTGAAAGCAATTATTAGTTTAACTATGCCTCTGGCAGTTTTGTTTAAGATTCTCAGTGCCACTGTAGCTGGAATGTCCTGCCGGATAGCCCTAGTAAATGAAAATGTCACAAGTATCCTAGGAGTCATATTATAGTGCAGATGAGCAAATGCCAGAGGTGCAGGAACTATGGCTGGAAATATTTCTACCCTTTATGCTCCTCTCCAGAGTAAATGTACAGGGTGTTTGCTGTGGTGGTAAATTTGACCATCACCCATCCACCCAACACCCACATTATCTGATCAACTGCTGGTGGCAGTGTGATGGCTGTCTTTGATCAAGGCAGGGAGAACACCCTTGGTCTGAGCCAAACAACTTCATTTGGCTTTCCCTGTTCTGATCTCTAAGTGGCCAGGATGCAGCTTCCATCTCAGCACTGTGGCATGCTGTTCAAACACATGCCACAGCCTCACCTTCCTTATAAAAATAGCCTAGTTAAGCTCTGTTTTTGGGGTGTTTTTTTAATTTTCTCTTTTAGTAATCCATTTTCACTGTATGCAGAAAGCATTCAGAATTTAGGCTTAATAGGAATAAAGCATTTGAGCTCCTCTTTCATGATCTGTATGGAATGACTCCTGTACTGTAGTGATTGCTGGAGGTGATATGAGCTACTTTTTCAGACTGACCTCATTCCCTTTTTGAGTTCCTTGACACAGCCTCTTCGTCCATAGTGGTAGCTGCATTACTGACAGATTTCTTAGACCAGTGAGCTCATAAATTGGAGAGGTGGTGGTGGTGTTTTGGGGTTTTTTTGAGGGGGCTTGGTTTGTTGTTTTGGGTTTTTTTTATGCTTTAGCTGTATCATTTCTTGGAATAGATTGTGTGTCTTGGGCTGTGATGACAGGTATGGAGTCAAAGGGTGTATACTTCAGTGATCTGCAAGATGAAAAGTAATCTTCCAGAATAGTGCCCTGGTACAATGTCATCTTGTTGATAAGCTGTAGAAATCATAAAAGGGGAAAAGGTCAGGCGTCCTTGCATTTCCTCAGTGATGATGTTAATCTGCTGTATCCAAAATACACAGGCACAGCACTGTCTGGTTTTGCTCAGACTGCTTTGAATCCTAGTTCACCAAAAAAACTGAACCATGTGAAATACTTAAGATAATAATAGATTTGTGTAGTGACTGCTTTCTTTACTGTTACCCTTGACTTGAATGGGAAATAGCTTCCAACTAATACCACAACCTGGAGCAGTGTAGAAGCCCCCCCAAAAGCTATCCCCACTCCTAAGCTACAGCAAAGCCTGTAAATCCATTTGTTGCCTAAAACTAAACCTGTTATACAAAATCAGAGAATTACACAAGATAAACTGAAATAATACCAAGGAATAAAATAAAGCCATCAGCAATAACAATAAAAGCAAAGCCTTTTTCATCCTTTGCAAGGGCTCTGCTGAGGGGACAGGACTTTTGCACCCCTGCCTTCTTTTTGCCCCGCTTTGGAAGCTTTTCCCAAAGCATCTGAAGGTCTGGACCCTGGGAAAGCGCTGCTTGGTTTGTGTTTCCCCCCACATACACCTGAGCAAACGGATCCTCTTTCCCTGTGGCAGGTGGATTTCCAAGAGGCATTTTCTGGAATGAGCAGCTGTTCTCTTCCTCAGCCTTCCTCCTCTTGACCCCAAACAGCAGATTTCTCTTCACCCACAAATGAACGTGTCAAAAGTTCACTTGAAATGAGATGGGCATGACAGGCAGCAGCTCAGTTTGCAAGCCTGGAGAGATGTGCACCTGCTCTGTCACATTGCTGTCGTGCTCCTGTGTGGCTCAGAGCTGAGATTTAAGACTTCCAGACTGTTGGACAAAAATAATAATAGAAATAAAGGGATTCAGAGCTGCATGCTGTTAGGAGCAGGATGGGAAGGATAGCACAGTGATCGCTGTGGGGTGAAATTTTGCACGTCTCCAAACAAGTGCAATATTTTAGGCTCTGGAAGAGAGCTGAAGGCCTGTTGTAGGGAAAGATCTTTATCATCCTATCAGATTGGTTTATTATTATTTATTTGCAAATTACTTTTTAAGGATTGTACTGCATGCCTAATTATATGATGGACAGCAAAGAATGAGTTAATTGTTGTTACTCTGCTTCTTTTAATAATTCAAAAAAGGACAACTGCTTCTTTTTCCAATTAAGTAATAATCCAAATTGCCCAGTTTCTGTTGGAGATTGTTATAAATGTAATAAAATCAACAGGTGTGGCTATCTACCTGTTTCTTCTGCTGCTAAGCTCTTGCCTTGTGCTTGTGACATGAGAGTGAGCTGTCAGCATCCCGGATCCTGCTTGGGCAAAGTTCTGGGGTTTGGTTCCTCCTGGTCTTGCAGCTGCTTGGGATTGTTTCATATATATTTTAACCCTGTATTTATTAATGGGCTGCACACTGTTCTTTCCTGATGATCCATGGGGTGGGTTAGTCATTGCTGTGATTGCTTAAATTCCTTAATATTTTCCTTGATATACGATGTGATTTTTGGGTTAGAAACACATACTTGGCCAAAACTAAGCAAAACTGAAGTCAGAACAAGTTAAACAATAATGTAACCAAAGCCTGGCTGAAATTACAGGACAAACAATAGGCATCGGTGACATGATTTAAGCCCAGCTAGCAACTAAGCACCACAGAGATGCTTTCCTGCTTCCCTCCAGCCTCGTATATGAATGTGATTCTGTATTTTCATACTGAATCCAAAACACAGTGCTGCACCAACTACTAAGAAAAAATGAGCTCTATCCCAGCCAAAACCAGGACAATCTGACATTGCAGCTAGGACAGACTAGACAGAAGTTATCTGATCCCAGGGGAAGTTGCAAGTGCAGCAAAGTTTCTCAAATAACTTTGGAGATTACAGCTAAGTTTAAGCTAAAATAGGTTGTAGTTCAGACAAAGCCTGTCAAGTCCTGGAGCCTGGTATTGTTACAAAGCTCAAGGCCTAATACTGATACTTGACAGCACCAAACTGGCAGGACTGCAGGTACTGCTGGCCCAGTTCTGAACTTAAAAAAACCTGGTGGCCTCCAAGAATTCATTTATGCAGTCTTGTGGCGTAGCTGTGAAGTGACCTTCCTGCATTTAGGGACAGATGCCATTTTGTCTCTCCATATGAGAATTAGTTTGAGATGGGGCTGAGCTAATTTATCATTCGCCGAGTAGGAAATGAAATTTGAAGTCCTTTCAAGTCACTGCAGCTGCAAGGAAGAGAGAGAGCCTCGTCTGCTGTCCTGTTGCTGCCCTCTGAGCTCCTGCTCCATCTCTGCAATGCTTCTGGGAGACAGGCGTGGCGAGGGCTGCATCCTTGTGAAAGGATGGCACTCCAAGGTCAGCCTGATCTCTCC